ACTAGGACACAGCTCACCCCTTTTACAGACAACCCCTCAATGTCTTGGGTTGAGATTAGAAATACAGGAAGTCCAGATTTCAAAAGCTAACAATGTGGACTGAAAACATCCACTTTTACTATTTGACTCTACACAAAGTGCCACCTTCCCCAGCTACCCTCCTAGGTATGCATTCAGAACGTCCACACAGCAAATACAAACCCATTTCACATAAGCAAACAGCCACACAACCACTCTGGTGCCATGCGCTTTTCCATAAGCACCTACAAATCATAAGCCTCAAATACGTGTGTTTCAACAGTTCTATTTTACCTTTATGTACTCTTTCTTCTTTGTTACAGTCACTGACTCTAATGATGTTACTTTTCCACCAGGTGCTTTGTATTCAAGAAAGTTCACCATAGATGGGGAACAGATCTCTCTACAGGTGCAGGATACTCCCTTTGTTTCATTGGAGGTAAAACATCTGCTCAGTGCATTGTACTTTACAACACAGTCATTGCCTCTTGCTTGTTGCCAGCACTTCCATCTGTAAGTAACTCCATTTAGCAGCAGAAAAATACCAGAGCTGAAATTCAAAAGAAGAGTAATGGATGTCCCTTAAACCCACCAAAATGAGCCTTGAAGAGGTTTAATCTGGCTCCTTTAAGTAAGTCAAAATTAAACCAAATCTATTTCAAACATATCACTGCATCCCAAGCCTAAAGAACAGTAAAATCATAAACTGGCTCCCTTCTGTCAACTTCTTGGTTGTTTTATTTCCTGTCAAATGGGTTCTAGCCCTGCATGGCAGAAAACTCACCTGCTTAGAGGCCCAGCTGGGGCCAGAATCTCTCTTCTCTAGAAAGGTGTTTCTTCCAAGGGGACGGGCCTCACAGCAGTTGTCATTTCCAGCTAGGGTGGCTTTCCAGTGCTTTCCTTAGTCTTTCTTAAAAGCAGTCCTCATTTTTAAGGTGTTAGCATTGACCTACAACCCTCTTTCTATCCGTGTTTTACATATTCTAGATTTAATATTTGACTAGGAATCTGCTTCTAGAAATATTTTTCCAAGCAGGGTTTAAGATTAAGATGTCTTTTCTGGAAGATTTGCTTCAAATGCAGAATAAGAGGATGAAAATAGTGTCAAAGCAGCAGGAAATAATGAAATCTGGGTTTATGTGAATGGTGGAAATCTCATGAGAGTAATAATTCTTCTAGAATAGCTGGGATTTCATGATAAAATTAGATATCCCCTTGTCACCATCAAACCTAAACTTGCAGGTTTGGCCTTAACCTCAGTCTAAGCTCAGACTTGGCCACATATATGCCTGGATGGGAACACCACCTTCTCCCGTGTTCTTTCAGGCTAGCCCTAGACAACCTTATCCACCCTGTTTTGTCCACACAGACCCATGTGTGGATGGCTTCATTTCTGTGCTCTACAACTGTTCCACCCTGAGTTTACAGAACAGGATAAGCAAAGCTCCCGCAGCCTGTTTCCATTTCCATTTTCTCTGACGACTGGAAGTAGATTCAAGTGGGAAGCTTTGACTAAGAGCAGAGGAGAGGAGCCCTCCTTTACTCTGGACACTGAAAGCAAACAAAAGCTGCTATGGAAGTCCTCCAAATATTCAAGTGGGACTTACCAGTACAAAGGCCCTATGCCAGCTTGCTTAGAGAGGACCTGCAAAGAGAAGCTGTGGGTGGCGATTAGGCACAATTGGGACCGCCTGATAAACGCTTTGCAAAGGGAATCCCCTCTCTGCTCTATCCCATGGAGAAAGGAGGGAGTGAAAGAATTTAGTTCCCTCTTTCACACCAGATACATGTTTATTTTCCTGTTTTAATTAAGACTGTACCCTATAACTGTGTGACTGTAGCCAGAGCTCCACAAAATTTAGTGATGCCAACAGCTGAGGTTTCTCAGTCAGAAACACTTTCTAAGTTTCCTTCCTAACTTGGTTAGGAAGGAGTTTCATTTTCTTTGTCCCAGTCAAAGGTCTGCACTCTTTCACCAGTTCCCAGACACACTTCTCTTAGCCTGTATCTCCGTTTGCATCAAATGCTCTATCTGAAACATTTTGAAGGGTCTGCTCCTGAACAGGGCTTGTTAAAGCTGGGAATAGTTTGGATTTTCTATTAAAATTCTTAAATGAGTGTCTTGCACTTTGCAGCCTGAACACAGTGTTTTGGGAGGAAGTCATGCGGAATCTCTCAGGGTTGTGGCCACACCGGAAATGTTAATGTTTAAGACAGAAACAGAAGCAACCAGATCACTGGTTTTGTTCAGTGAATCATTGCTGCTTGCTCTATACATTGCAAATGACTGTGTGTTTCAAAATTCATTCTGGAGCAGAGATTTCCATTTAAAAAGTAGCCCATTAGCCTTTGACTGTCCTGAATAAAGCATTCCATTTGGGATTATCCATCCATCTCACTCCTGGGTGGGCCTAGCTGGTAACTGAGAATTCCAGCTCATTAGGGCTCCCTGAACGTATACCTTCTCCAAACCTATTTTCTAACGCTTGCCAGAGCAATTAGTTCTTTTTACCCATGAAAGGAGTTTGCTGGTGAAAAGAGGCTTGAAGGACATGGAGAGTGGCTCATTATCCACAGCTTGGATACAGCCCAGATGCCACCAGTGCAAATTGCCCTTCTTCCCACAGCCTGCCCTGCCCTGCCCTGGCTTGAGTTCACTCTTAGTAATCTTTTAAACAAGGCTGCTAGTGATGAGCTCTCTTCACTCCATGTGCAAACCTGAGGGGGTTTGGGATTTGAGGGTTTTGGAGGGAAAGGAGTGATAAGGGCATCTGTTAAACAATTTGCTGCTAACAGGATTTACTGTTACTGTGAGCTGGCAAGGGCATAGAGCTACCAGGTAGTGTCTTTACAGGCAATACTAAAATATTTGCAAAGGTCAGATAGACAAGGTGGGCAGTTAGTTAAGGGGCCTTACAAGAAACCTGGAGAGAGACTTTTGACAAGGGCCTGTAGGGACAAGACATGGGGGAATGGCTTTAACCTGCCAGAGGGGAGACTGAGATGAGGTCTCACCCTCTTCCCTGTGAGGGTGCTGAGGCCCTGGCACACGGTGCCCAGAGAAGCTGTGGCTGCCCCATCCCTGGCAGTGTTCAAGGCCAGGTTGTACACAGTGGCTTGGAGCAACCTGCTCTAGTGGAAGGTGACCCTGCCCATGGCAGGGGGTTGGAACTGGATGAGCTTTAAGGTCCCTTCAACCCAAACCAGTCTGTGGTTCTATGATTCATTCCAATTAGCAGAATGCCTGTTGAAAGCTGTAATTTATAATCTGAGCCTTCAGAAATTCTGCTTCCTTCTTCTCACAGAAGAGCCTTGTCACTAGCCTTTTTTCACAGTTTGATCAACCATAAAAGAACTGATCAGTTTTACTCATTCTTTTCTACCTCTGCTTCCTGAAGTCAGGTTTTCTAATTCATATTTAGTGTCTAAATAAAAGTGACCTGTTCTGGGAGGTTGCTGAACATACACAGGTTCTGTTCAAAATAATGTGAATGGCAGATATATATCTATAGATAAATGGATAATGGAACTTATGTTCTAATAGTCTTACTGAACTTGATGAAGATTTATTGAATAGAGTTTAGCTGTAATGATAACAGCTTGGGCTCTGTATTCATGATAAACCCCCCTAAAATACACAAAAGGCTCTAATTCCTAGCAGCTTATTCCAGAGCTGAATACTGAAGACGCTTATTGCCTTGTTGGATATAAAAGAAATGACAAAGTTCCAGAAAGCTGTAATATTGACAGTCAGGTCTCACAAAGCGAGCACACAGGCAATAATTGCAGCAGGGATCTCCGTATCTGCTTGGGTTACACGCCAGCATGGATAACAAAGAGCAAAGGATTAGCTGAAAATAGCTTCATCTTGAAAAGTGATCTGATCTCTTTGCAAGCCCCAGCAGTATTGTGTTCACTTTTATATCCCCAAGGCTGGTGATTGTTATGGCTGTCTGAGTAGGAGCAGTGATGGACTGAACAAACATGTGGCCAGCAAAACATAATATAAACCCATTGCTGCTCTGTAAATGAGCAGCCAGGTTTCACAGCATTTTCAGTCCCAGCAGCTGGTTATTTGTAACAAATTGCCTTTTAGAAGTAACTGTCTTTGAATATCTGGTAGAAAAACCTGTTAGGCCTCATCAGCATCAGTGAGAACCTCTGTCTATGGAGACATTGAATACAGACTTGGAAAAAGCCCCAAAACCCCACTTGGGGGACAACCATTCACTTGCAGTAGTTTTACTGGCCTGCTGAATTTAATAATGCTCTTATTGTGCCCACCACAATTTTATCCACAAGAAAAATGTGGGTTTCTATCACAGTGGTTTAGTGCAATAGAACAGAGAACAGACTTTTCAGTATCAGTATTTTGGCTGTTCTCTTCTTTCCAACCAATTTTTCTGACACCTCTCCACTGCTTACTTTGTGATGTGTTACTGGCACAGTGGAAACTTCTCCTGTCCCTGGTACATTCCCTGGCAGTCAGAGAGGTTTCTGCCCATACATTTAGAAACAGCCACACTTTGAAACACAGCTCTGAGTAGCTATAGCAGTGCTGTAGGACTGATTGCTCCCTATTCCCAGTTTCCTAACCTCACACCTCTTGGTTCTGATGGCAGGATGACACTGACAGCATATGTTGCCAAGAGCAGATAAACAGATCAATCTACTGGGCAGATGGCTTCGTTTTTGTTTACTCCATCACAGACTATGAGAGCTACAGAGTGATCCGTCCCCTGCACCAGCACATCCGCAAGATCCACCCAAATGCCAACATCCCTCTGCTCCTGATGGCAAACAAAGGAGACCTCCTGCGAGCCAGGCAGGTGTCCTCCAAAGAAGGGCTCCAGCTGGCCAGTGAACTGGGAGGTACTTACTATGAAGTCTCAGCCCGAGAGAACTGTGAGGGAGTGCATGAAGCCTTCCAGCAGCTATGCCAGGAGGTCAGCAGGATGATCGGGAGCTGCAATGGAGAGAAGCGAAGAGGCCTCCACCTTGTGCGACCCAAGTCACCAAATATGCAGGACTTGAAGAGACGTTTGAAACAGGCTCTCACTTCCAAAGGGAAATCTGCCACTACACTTTGATGTAGCCAACAGGAATTGCTTTCTACAGCCCTGAAAAACAGGCAAGAAAATAAGCTGGTAATGGGGGGCATTGCTGCAATTCAGCAGTCAGGTTGCGTGAGGGGCTCTTCCAGTTTGTCTTTACATCTTCTGTACAAACCCCGCACACATTCAGCAAAGGAACTTACAGAATTTGCTCTTTGGGGCAAGAAACTGTGATTTAAAAACCAGATTGTCCCAAATTATTTCCTTTTGAAAGGGACACAGTCAAATAGTTTAGGCTTAAAATGTGGATTTTATTAATAGAAACAATTAAATCCTATTTTTAAGAGAAGTGACTACCCTGGGGGATGGTTGTATTCCCATAGGCAAGAAACTACCGCAAGACACGAGGAGAGTGATGTGACCTACACTGAGCAAGCAAAATTGACCAGATTTGCTTAAGTCACGAGACTGGAAAATAAAGGCAAAAAGTAAATGAAGAGCATAAATAGTGAAAAGTAGTAACTGAAAGCTTTAAATTGCAGTTTAGAAGGTGTTAGCAAGGTGGGGAGAGGTTCGTGCAGATGTAAGCTTCAGCCTCACAGTGTCTCTAAAGGGAGATGTTTAAAAATCACTATGTTTTTCAGATTATTTTTCTTTAAGCACACATTGACTGTTTCTGAAAGGGATATGGACTGTATTCATCAAGAGCAAGGAGGTGATCTAAAACTGTTGAACTTTTCCTTTCCAAACTAGGCAGATTTCAAGCTCAAGATGCTGTTTTAGAGAAAGAAAACCTTCATGTAAAGTATATTTAATTCATTAGATTCTTCTTTTTTTGAAGGAAAAGAAGAAAAGGATTTATGATGCCTAAAATCTGTGGCTTCAGGAATTCATCATTTTGTTATTTGCCTTAAGACCAGACTTTACACAATACCTCGCAGTGCATCCAAATAACTGGTCTATCCACACATACTTCACTGGCAGCATCCCACTGCATTGTATCTCAGCATGTACAAAGGGATTTCAAGCTGCATCCTGTGAGCTGGCTGGTTTTATGGTAACAATAACAACAACGTGAAACATCCATCATTCTGTGCTCGATGAGAGTAGAAAGAAACTGGGTTGGACCATGTGAAAGTCATGATGCAACAACCTTTGCTTTAAACACACCATACGAGCAATTCACAGGCCCATGAAATGAAGTAAAGCTCCATGATTTACACTCAAGAACAGAGGGAAAACCCTTGTTTGATGGATACAGAAAGATCCTCGCAGCTGCACTTGCAGCTGGCAATACTGAGCTAAATCAACCTTTTACTCATTACAAGCAGTGAAAATGTAAATTGAGTCTGATGAGTATTTACACAGCTCAGGGCTTGAAAATGGGGTTTACATTTTTCTTGTCCCTATATTAGACAGCTCTCATCAGGATTTTCCTCATCACCTGGATTTGCTCTATCTACAGCTCACTTTGTGGTTTATTTATTGTTTTCCACAGCTGGTCAGCTGGGAATGGCTTGTGTTCTCATTGACGTAAACTGCTCTTCTTCACACAAAAGGACTGCACCTTTTTTAGCAGTTAGTTTCAATTGGTAGTAGGAGGGGAAAAGGAAAGTCAGATCATCCAATGAAGGACTCAAACATATCAGAGGATTTTTACTTTAGCTTAAGGCTATTTAACAGTTCAATGTTTGAACAGTGCCATTATTCAGTGCAGGCACTTTGGGATGGTGTTTAATAGCACTGAATTTCGATATTTGAAATGACTAATAGCAAATATTAAATCTGAAGATTGAGTAACATGAAATAGAGCAGTGTGTGAGCCACACACAAACTGCAAATGGTTTACATTGAGAAAAATGATCCATATTTTGAATAGCAATTAAAAATTTTACCATCCCAGCCTGTGTGTCAGGGGCCAAATTTGCCAAAGAGAATTTGCTGACAACCTTTGTTCTCATGAGAGCCTAAGACAATTCAGTGCTCTCGCTGTTCAGTTTGGTTGTAACTTACTCTTGCAGCCCTAATCCTTTCTTAGTTGGGGAAAAATGTTCAACAGATTTCCAACCTTTCAATGTTTTATTTTCAATAGTGATTAATAAAAACATTCAGAGCCTTTCCTGAGAGTGTACAAAATGTCTCACATCTTTAAATGTTCCTTGCTTAAACTACACTAACAATATACTATTTTTCCTTCTACAATCTAATGCACCCTACATGTATTCCTGCATTTGTATTCCTACAGAAGTAAGTATTCCCACATTCCTGTGGCACTGGTGGGGAAAAAAATGCCTACATTTTAGCCAAGGCCAAGAAATACTGAAACATTTAAGTCTTCTCCTAACTACTAACATGTGGCAAACATTTCTTCTGCTACAGAAACTTCAGTATTTCCTTTGTTCATTGACCAGCAATACAAATCCTGTAAGAGCTTTGATACTGGGTTTAAGCCAGGACATGCCATCTACAGAAGACAATAGAGCTCAGGCTTTTTGTTAGCAGGGCAGTATCCAAGCACTAGGACACATCATTGGGCCACTGAAGCTAAGCAAGGCTGAGGAAGCAGAATGGTATCATGAAAAGCAGGGAGAAGAGAAGGCTATAGAATTAAGTGCCTAAAAATAATCATATAAAATATCAAAGATTAGTCATGTAGAACCTGATCCTGAATTAGAATCTTGAGGCTGCCAAGGAAAAAACATGTATTCTACTGAAAGTTTAAAATTAAGCCTCTAGAGAGAAGGTACTTGGCATAAAGTCAAGAGAGGAGAGGAAAAAAAGATTGGAGAGTGGGTTTTGGGGGGGGGGGATATCAAGGCAAATTCTCTTCTTTGTTATATTAAGTCCAGATTAACTCCACTGCAAGCAATACCATCAGCAATAAGCTATAAAACTCACTTTTCTTTTACTCCCATCCCTTTTCATTCTCCTGAGCCATTTAAATCTTGTGCACCATCTGGTTTTCAAGATGGTTTACAGCTGGGTTTACTTGGGCACAAAGCACTTGAGTGATTTGCCCCAAGGTTACACAGCTGAGCAAGTGCTTGAGAGGAACTCACAAACTGTGTCCTTTGTAATTAATTCCCAATGCTTCACAACACCTACCAGACCATACCACCTCCCCCAAGGTATGCACAAAGCACAGAGAGTTGTGTTACAGAAGAATGTAATTAAAAGTTGGGAAAAGTTACTTAAATTATAAGATATGTTAGGAACTGCCTGAGCAAAGCATTGCTGACATCCTGGAACGGGGTGCAATAGCAGTAATAGCAAGCCTGGCTTTGAGTTATTGAATTTATTTGTGAATGGCTATTTTCTGCAGTATTCCTGTCAGATGCATTTCTCACACGTTTCCAGTGGTTCCCAATGGAAATACAGTGTGACTTGGGAAAATCAGGCTCCATTTTTAACTTTTCCTGTGACTTGATGATCTTGGCCAGGTCTCTTAATCAAAGTTACGTGTCCGTAAGGATGAGGAAAGTATTAACACATATTTGCTACGCAATTTAGCATCCACAAGACAGGCTCACCAATGAGAAACAAAGGACTTGCCTGCATTGGCAGTAGGGATGGCTTAAACCTTAACATCTGAATTCAGATCTTGATTCTGGACTCCTTAAATTCAGAGTTGTTTGGATCCCATGTTTACACTCAAAACATAGGAACAAATGGAAAACTCAGATCTTGATTTCAAGGAGGAACTCAGCCAGAAATACTTGTATCCAGGGTCCCTGCCTACACACAGGTTTTATGCCAGGTGCGCAGACGAAGAGGAAAGAGTAACTTTCTGAGACATCAAAGAAACTTAGGCTGTACCAGAAAATGGTTGTCTGATTGTTTTACAAGGCAAACTGGAAGGCTGCCAGCTCATTGTTCCTGCTGGATTTGCCTCTGCCCATTAACAGGCTGGAAGACTTTGGGTCAGAATCACACTGACACTGCTGGAGCAGCAGTTCTGTCTGCAGAGCCAGCACATGACCCCAGAGCGGCAGAACACAATGACATATTAGCCAAGATTCAACGGTTCATGTATCTTCAGAGTTCTTATGAGCTGAACCCATCTCCTTTGGGGCTAGCACAGGAAAGCCATGCAATTGAAAGCGATAAAGCTCTCCAGTTTCACTCTAAAAGCCCCCAAAACAGGAGCAATGGTGCTAGAAAAGATCTATCACCTCTGGAGACAAAGCGAGACTCTTCCTTTGATCATTTTTCACCCCTGTTCTCACTGGCTGTGCCCTTCCTCATCCCTCTCTGGTCATGCCTTTGTTCTCATTTAGCAAGCAAAACCTCCTGCAATTGTTCTTCCTTTGGCTTAGAAATATAATTTTTGCTGTTTAGTTTAAAATATATTTCCAAGTATTTTAACTCCAAACATAGTTCATAGCAAAAGAAGTGTGTCTACTCAGCCTTTTGACCTTATTTACCTAAAGCATTTTAAAGCACATCTAAATGAAGTCAGTCCAACTGTGTATTTAGACAACCCTTTGAATTCCTGCCATTTCTCCCCAAGTGCTCTCACTGCCTTAGCCCGATATTTCCTTCCCTTGTTTTGTGCTCACAATGTTGAGCTCATTTCTGTTGTGCAGTCACTGCTTACTGAAACCTTTTCAGGTCTTACAAAGTTCTGCTGCTCTTCTCTGAAGTCTCTTTGGTTGAATTAAGCAAGTCCTCTTCTCTAAGCAGTGGTGCAAGTTGCACCTGAGCTCAGAGCAGCTGCTGATTTTCTGCTCTGTCAGGTTTTTCCCATTATTGAAGGTTTTGGAATAAACAGGAGCATGGAAAATGATGCAGCAAGCCCAGTTCTAGTCTCCCTTCATCTGTCAGCCTCCTCTGGTGACAATAATTTGATCCATCACAAAGTGAGCAAAGTTTATCCTAAATAACAGTGTTTCAGCATGGGTTCCTACAGATGGAAAAACACCAAATATGAAGCAGGGTTGGTAGGCTCTGCAAACCCAAGTATCTAATTCATTCAGGAGCTGTCAAACCAATCTTCTTTTCCTTAGAAGATGCATTTCTTACATTTTCCTTTTTATCCAAATGGGTTTCAAGACCCAGGCTCTGGA